AAAATTATGAGATTGTAAACGCAATAAAAAGAAGTTGAATAGAGAAGCAAGAAACATAGGTCGAGGTATAAAGTTCAATGAGATTCAAAAGTATAAATGAAGAAGGAACGTAATGAAACATGAACGATCAATGTGATCTTGTGAGATAGTGACAGAGTGATGGAGAGTGAAGAGAGAGAGAGAGAGAGAGTGAGAGAGAGAGAGAGAAAGAGAGGGAGGGAGGGAGGGAGAGAGAGAATGAGTGCGTGAGAGAAAAAGTTCGGCAAATTTAGATAAAAAACAACACGGAAAACTAAGACCACGTGAGGTGGAATCTCTTGTGAAACGGATAGATAAATAGATAGATATATAGAGATAGATAGATATAGATAGATAGAGAGAGAGAGAGAGAGAGAGAGAGAGGGAGAGAGGGATTGATAGAGGGTAAATGAGAAAGTGAGAGAGAAAATATGAGTGCGAGGCAGAAAGTGTGAGAGTAGGAAAAAGCAATTGGGAGGACCTATTACAACAGAAGTAAAAAGAAAAATTGTAAGATTGTAAATCCAATAAAAAGTAGTTGAAGCAAGAAACATAGGTCGAGAAATAAAGTTTAAAGAGATTCAAAAGTGTAAATGAAGAAGGAACGTAATGAAACATGAACAATCAATGTGATCATGTGAGATAGTGACAGGGTGATGGAGAGTGAAGGGAGAGGGAGAGAGAGAGAGAGAGAGAGAGAGAGAGAGAGAGAGAGAGAGAGAGAGAGAGACTATAGACAAAGGGAGAGAGATTTGGTGATAAAGGGAAAGAAAATAAATAATTAATAACTAAACTGAAATGACTGTCATTTGATCATTCGAAGAAGAGAGAAAGGGAGAAGAAATAACACATCTGACAGATAACAAATTTGGTTCAATTCCTCAATTTTGCACCTATTTTATTGTCAATTTATATGAACTTTCTAAATAAAACCCTGCATTTGTGCAATAAGTAGATCAATCGAACAATTGAAGTTTATTACAAGAATATATAAGTTGCATTAGCTATAAAAAATCAAAACGACTTATTAATATGAAGTGATTTGATTAAAGTTTATAATTAAAAAAAAAACAATATTAACCAGTGGGAAACATTTGAGAAACAATTTAACATAACAGAGAAAAAATTAACAGTAATGTATAATATATCTAATCAATGACACTTCATACTATTAAAAATTATTTATATTTATATCAATTGGTGTTTATTTGTACAATGGTAATATTAACGTCGCGTTATCTTTGTTTTTGTTTGCCAGCCTGAGAGTCTGCTTGTGAGAGACAGGTTGTCTAGGATGCCCGCCTTGATAATAGCGCGGGGAGTCCAAGGTCGAGTTGATTAAATCCCCCTCTGAAACGAGCCTCATATATCTATTTTTTCCCTTGTTGTCCTGCATTAATTTCCGTATTGGCAGTACCCGCTTTTTTCCATATTCCGGACAGGTACGACTGCTTTGAACCTCGTAAGCAGTCGGTCCCGCTGCATCTAAAATTAGATCGAACCTTGGAAGAGCGACTTGCACTTTCAACAGGCTTACGATTAATATTCTTGATGTGTCCCTGCGAAGACATTGGCGATGGTGTTTAACGAGTTTTTTTTTTAATATACTATGTTACGGAAATAATAGCTGTAACAAAGCCTATCGTTATTCGTACAAAGGTTAAATCCTCCTATTTGTATTATCGTGGTAATTATTTTTGAGCCTTGCTTAAATAATTATATCACTCCTGGACACTCTTCAAAAATTTACATGAAGGCTAAAATATGTCTCGATTTTTCAACCACATATTTAGAACAAGTTCGATATGAATCTTCAGACCGGTCAACATGCATTTTTAGTTTCTAATAGAAAAAAACGAGTTTTAAAAAATTTAATTCGAAATTTAAAGAACTATTTTTTTATGATTAACAGCACAGAGTTTTTTTTAGAGATTATGAGACAGATTATCACATTCACTTATACACTTTGATTCCATCTCACAATTTTAAATAAGCCAAAACTTTGATTAAATATATCTCAATAGATACAATCGTACGTATATTTCTACGTACTAATCTATTTAAGATGCGTAATAATCAATTTACATAATGTCTTTCGCTCGCTCTGTCTGTCTGTCTGTCTGTCTGTCTGTCTATCTATCTCTCTCTCTCTCTCTCTCTCTCTCTCTCTCTCTCTCTCTCTCTCTCCCTCTCTTTATTTCTATCTTTTTCGTATGATATCAACTCACGTTCGTACCCTCCTTGTCTCTTTTCATCACGCTCCTTTATCTCCTACATGCTTTTCACCTTTTCATCTCTTTCCATATCATTGAATTTTTCGACTCTTCCCATATTTCTTGCTTTTTTGGGTAATGTTCATTTTTCGTCCTTTTTGTACCTATTGAGTTATTTCATGCTTGTTTTTACGTGTTTTTGTGTTTCATGCTTGTCGAGGTGGTGAGGCGCTTCCTCATGATTTTCAGTGAGGAGAGTCACATAGTTTGATTTTCCTTGTTATTTGTTCTTTGTCTCTGTGTTTTATTTGTTTTTGTCTGTACTTGTCTCCACAATTTCATTTCATGACGTATGTGACATTTTTTATCAAGTGTTTTGGTTTTATTACTGTTTTATTTTTATTGTTTTCCCGTCGCATTTGTGATTTCCGAGCTGTTTTAATGGGTAATTTTTTAAATAGATTAATTAGTATGCCCTCCATTCCTCTTTTCATTGCGCTCTTTCATCCTCTTGATGCTTCTCCACTTTTTATCTCTTTCCATCTCATTGATCTTTTCTTCGCTTCCCATTTTCTTGCTTTTTTGCGTAAGTTCATATTTCGTCCGTTTTGTACGTCTCGTGGTCAAATTTGTCGAGGCATCATGATGACTGTCAGCGAGGGAGTGTCGCGTAGTTTGATTTTCGATGTCGTTATTTGTTTTCTGTATCCGTATTTTATTTTTCTTTGTCTGTCTGATATAATTGTCTACGCAATTACATTTCATGACGTGTGTGACATTTTTATCAAGTGTGTTGGTTTTATCACTGTTTTATTTTTATTGTTTTCCAATTGTATTTGTGATTTCCGAGCTGTTTTAATGGGTAATTTTTTAAATAGATTAGTTAGTATGTCCTCCTTTCCCCTTTTCATTGCACTCTTTCATCCTCTTGATGCGTCTCCACTTTTTATCTCTTTCCATCTCATTGATTTTTTCTTTGCTTCCCATTTGTCTTGCTTTTTTGCGTAAGTTCATATTTCGTCCGTTTTGTACGTCTCGTGGTTGTCAAATTTGTCGAGGTATCATGATGACTTTCAGCGAGGGAGAGTCGCGTAGTTTGATTTTCAATGTCGTTATTTGTTTTCTATATCTGTATTTTATTTTTCTTTGTCTGTCTGATATACTTGTCTCCGCAATTACATTTCATGGCGTATGTGACATTTTTTATCGAGTGTGTTAATACTATCACTGGTTTATCTTTAGTGTTTTTCCATCGCATTTGTGGTTTCTGTGCTGTTTTAATGAGTAATTTCTTAAATAGATTAGTTAGTATGCCCTTTTCTTGCGTTATGTATGTTTATGTGGTCCATTTAAAAACTGTTATTGCGTGCAATTGTTTCGTTCTTCGTTCGTTTTCGTATTTCTCTTTTGTCAGAGGCAGTGTTCTTTAAATTTTCGGTCACAAGGAGACACGAGGTCTGGAACACCAAAATGAACGATAACGAACAAATTGTATAATCCCTTAATTGCGAAATTTTTGGATATCTGGGTTCATAACCTTGTAACTTCTTGTAATTTCATCATTCGTACTATCCATTTATGTTTTAGAGGTCAATTGACCAAGTTACTTCTTTTAACAAATTATTCTTTTTATGTAAGGTCTTGGTTGGTATAAAAAGGCAGTGTCACGAGCGGGATTCGAACCCAAGACCTTCGGCTAAATACGTCGCTGCTATACCGCTAGAGCTATCGTGCCTTCCAACCTCTCGGACAACAACTCTCCATTTCAATCTAAAACCGTTTAAAATTTTCCCTCTTTTTGTCATTTTCAAATGTCGTGTAATCAGGATTCGATTCTCCGCGACTTATGAAGTGACCACGGTGAGCTGTTAGTGAAGTGATACTTCTTTTACTTATTAAATATTAATCCATTTATGTTTTGGTGGTCAATTGACTAAGTTACTTCTTTCAATTAATTATTTATTTTATGCAAGGTCTTGGTGGAGATAAAAAAGTCAGCGCCACGAGTGGGATTCGAACCTACGACCTTCGGCTAAATACGCCGCTGCTCTACCACTTGAGCTTTTGTGATTTTGATCCTCTCGGACACCATCTCTCCATTTCAATCTACAACCGTTTAAAATTTCCGCTCTTTTTGTCATTTTCAAATGTCGTGTAATCAGGATTCGATTCTCAGCGACTTATGGACGGTTGTAGGTTGAGATGGAAAGTTGGAGTCCGAGAGGAACGAAATCACGATAGCTCAAGTGGTAGAGCAGTGGCGTATTTAGCAGAAGGTCGTGGGTTCGAATCCCGCTCGTGTCACTGACTTTTTTATCTCCACCAAGACCTTACATAAAAAGAATAATTAATTTTCTGCTATCTTCGCCGTTTAACTTTTTAAGTGTGCCTGTGTGCGTCAAGTGTCTGACTGACCAAACAGCGAGGATGCAGCACAGTGATCGTATCGTCTAAATTCACTTAACGTCAGTGTAAAATAGTTGCTGTACATAGTCGTTTGGGCAGTTGAAAAATATGTTGGAGGGTTTTTTATTCATTTTATATGAAGTTATTTTTGATACTCTTGACTACTAGAAATATGATAAACGGATTGAATATTTTGTTAAGTTGAAGAAGTATATTGGACTTAAGTATAGTTGGTCTAGTCGCTTAGTATGCAACGGCCACATGGACTTGGAAAAACATGTCACACGCTGTCGTATACAATGCTTACAATTCGTTACATGTCAGGGATTGAAATCAAACAAACGCATTCATATTCACGAGAGGTTTTTTTGTTTCAATCACACCTGATTGCACTAGTTTTTAAATGTAGGTAGTTTACAATATCATCAACGAGTCGCTAATGGAATAGTTATGATTTATTTTATTATTTTGTTATGCTTTGACATGACCTACTGTTCGTCCGAGTTTGGCGAAGGAACAGACGTTAAAAAAGACGAAAGCGAATTGTTTGTCAGCTTCGACCCTACGAACGAGGCGAAGAAGAAAATCTTGTCGGACTGGCACCGGCTGGCTGTGAGAGAAGGCGTCGTCCCTGCAATTAGAGCTCTGCGGGATGAAAACATCAGGGCGGTTATGGTCCCGGAGGACGACTGGCGCTGTCTCATAGCGCAGTTGAATAAAATGAACCGCAGGTACTCCCTGGTCGGCTGGCTTCTACTGATTTTCCTCTCCATCGTCTTAGGCGCTCTCTTTTGCGTCCTGTTCAGCATGTACAAACGCGGTTACTTTTTCAGCCAATCTGACGACACGTGCGTCAATAACTACAATGTACGGCACTTTAAAATTTTCTCTTAGGAAAATTTCTTATTGATCAATATATCATTTCAGTATTGGAATAACAATAGGGAATGCTACGGATGCCTAGACTCAGAATCAGAAGGGTTGCTCAGGTACAGTATTTGAAGTATTCTATGTCAGTTCGTTTTAAGCTTTCTGTTTTAGGATTAAAAAAACAAATAAGCTGTATTTATCAAAATCACTGGAGGGAATGAACTCTCCGTAAAAACGAAGTGCAAGTGAGTATAATCATATCAACATATGATTTTGATTTTAAAAATTGAACTATTTCAGCATTTATATTTATTTTTTTATATTTTTTTATTTGTGATCCCTACTCTTGTTTAGAAAAACATACGTCCGTTATGATATGTTTCATATGTTTATTTTCATTGTAACGACATTCCTTATTTTTTCGGCAACAAACGGGGACCCGATTTCCTACCCTATTGTGTTCAATTTCGACTCTCCAGACTCCACAGTCGACATACTAGAGGCCGGAGAGCGTTTGGAGAAACTCGGAGGATTGCAGTTCAGTGTCAGAGATCTCTTTCAGCAGCAGTGGGTCTCTTACGTGAAGGAAAAAGGCGTGGCAAGCGGACTAAAAGCTCTCAAGTCGGACCGTCTCAGGAGGAAGATCAACAATTCTAAACCCCGCCCCTTGGACGAACTCAAAAAAGACTACCCTTGGATCTTCGGTGCTCTCATCATCGCCAGCGTCTTCTCCTTCTGCATTGCCTTCGCCTATAGCCTTTACTGCGTCGTGAGGGTATACGCCTGGACGAAGGGCATCCCTATGAGATAAGGACAAACCCTTTCCAAAATGTTTAACGGTTTCACGTTTTCCGATGACGTGTTGTACAAAAGCGTCTGCGATAACCTCAAATTCAACCTGAGTGATCCGGATAAGGCGGTGAAAATGTACAACATCTGTAAACTGGACGAAGAGATCGCTGACAAACTCGATAAAAGGTTCAGGGAGAGTTGGGCCAGACTGGCCGTCGAAAAAGGCGTCTCTGAAGCCGTCCAGGCTCTGAAAAACAAGCAGGTCAGGGCGATACTCACGAATGAAGACGAGTGGGACTCGGCAGTGCAAGAATTGAAGGATATTGAAAACGAATCTTACAGTATCATGACTTACGTCCAGGTATTCGCAGCCGTCATGATAATAATTCTGGTCATCGCCTTCATCGTCGTCTGCCTTGTTAAAGAGAAGAAAAACAAAAGTGTAAGCCCACGGTTGTTTTGAATCTTAAGAAATGTTGACGTACTGTCTCACCTGGCCTAACAACTAAATTTAAAAAAAAAAAACACGTGACAGCGATGAAAAAATTAAATAGGCCAGTTGGTCAGTTTTAAATCATCCTAAAACGGGACCGCGGTAACCGAGTAGTCACATGATAGACTCTCGACTCTGCCCACCATTTTCAGGCTAATATGTATCAAACATAAGGCCCTACAACTATTTTCACCAATTTTGATATTAGGCTCTTTCCTAAAACAAAACAAAAAAATATAGGTATCGTGTCTGATGATTTGGTATCCGTCTATTTTTATTTACCAGTCGTGCTTAAATGTCACCCATCATCATTGGTGGATTAAGTGTTTTCTGTTTAGTCGTGAAATGTGAAAATTGTGTATCTTTCTCTGTCGGCGTCTCTGAAAATTAAGTTTGGGTTTTTTAGATATTCCAGCCGGTCGGTTTGATCGTCGGTCTTTTTACTATTTAAGTTTATATACTGTCAAATAAGGCAAATTTTTTATACTCTTTTTAATTTGATAGGACAATGGATGAAGACATGAACAGATATATATGTAGATATCAAAAAAAAAATAGTAATAGATAGAAAATGAAAAACTAGAAAGACAGACAGACAGGCAGGCAAGCAGAGAAAGAAGAGAGAGAGAGAGAGAGAGAGAGAGAGAGAGAGAGAGAGAGAGAGAGAGAGAGTGAAAGAGAGAAAATGGGTTTTTTCATGTTAATGCGTATTTAGGATTTCAAATATGTCCTTCTTTGTAGTAATTATCATTGTCGTTGTTTCATGCCTGTCGAGGATCCATGAAAATAATCCGAAACGATCATGCAACAAATAGATCCATCCAAAATCTCAAAATATAAGTGTTCCAACAAAATCATCGTTTATGTTTGGTTGTTTTCGAACGTTTTTTTAATCCTGGCATCGAGGTTTTGGTCTGATCAAATAACAACTGATAGACCAAACTAACAAAGGCAGATAGACCGAACTTAAGTGAAACTGCAGTTACATCTTATGTAGGAATCCTACAACAACCATCGTTGTTAAAATAAATAAATAAAAATTAAATAAAACATAATAAGAAAAAGTAAGTAACAAAAAACTTTTAATGAAGATTTATTGATTCATATTTTACGAGTTGCAGGTATACAACAGGAATAAAAATGCCCCTGAAGAAAGAAAGAATACGAAAGAACGAGTTGGACTTCTCCGGTATGAGAGAGATGTTATTTTGCTTAATAACGTGCATACTAATTTTCAAAATTTTTCTAATGTCTAATGTCTAGCTCTATGTCTGAAAATATAAAATAGTGAACAGGAGTTGGATGATACCCTGGAGGTTCCAGAACTGTACAGAATAAATATGGAATGAATATATCTAAATCTTCAGTTTACGCGTCAATAAAAAGTGTCAATATCTTTACTGAATCATTTATCGAAATTTAAGTAAAAATAAAGTAACAGAAACCAACGAAAAGACTATTGTATTTGGACAAAAACAGGCAGCAAGTACGACGAGACTACATTCCCGTTACGCCACGTTTAGATTGCCATGGATCAAAAGTGAAATTGACGAGAGACGCAAAAGTGCCTCCGTCGCAGGAACCCATAAATCAATTACGGTAGGATGAAGCAAACAAGACGTCCTCAGGGAAACACGATGGCTTAAAGAACATGGCGACAAGCCTTCTGGAGCAGGTAAAGCTTTGATTAGGGGGTAATAAGGGGCAATTAGGGTGAGTCGCTTGATGTGAGGGGGTGGTTCTCCTTTCCCGACTTGCCCTTCAGTTAATGAATATTGGCAGCGATTTTGAACTATCTCGCTTCCAAAATATTATCTTCTAATGGCTATGCCGATCTCTAACCCCATATGTATATGTATTTTCCAACTTTATTCTTGTTGTAAAGCCTGGGGGTTGGATAAGTGTCCGATTTTTAGACAAACACCCAAATCAGCTTCTATTCACAAACACACACACACACACATATATGTGTGTGTATATATATATATATATATATATACGTCCACCTCTTACTCGTTTCCTTTTTTCAGACTCTCACTTTTTTCATGCTCATCTTGTTTTCACTCCTACTACTTTTCCCTCATTGTCAGTAAAGTTTTACATTTCTTTTAATTTTTTTACAACTCCCCCATTGTCCCTATTAATCCATTCATCTTTTTCTCTTCATCTCACTCCTCATCACTCTCTCTCTCTCTCTCTCTCTCTCTCTCTCTCTCTTTCATTGTACTCACACCTGCTCCAGCGTTTTATTTTTTTATTTCTCCCTCTGCATCATTTTTCCTTATTCATATATACCTCTTTCCCTTCTCTCTCTCTTTTCTTTTTCTCTCTTTCTATCTTCCAATCACTTTCGATAATATATAATAATTATTATTATATAAGTAATTCAAAAACAATTATGTTTTATTTATTCTAATAGAAAAAACTGTTCACATTGTACTTTTAAAATGATGACTTTAAATTGTGTATTTCAATAATAAAACAGGATATGATACGTTAAAATTCTTTTAACATATGTACATACGCTTAAAAAAAAATACTTATTTTAAATATTTCAACCATGTCACCAATTTTATACTTGGGGAAACTCGTTGTACTTACACATTCTCCAGAGTTTTATTTTTTTATTTCACCCACTGCATCATTTTTCCTTATTCATATATATCTCTTTCCCTTCTCTCTCTCTCTCTCTTTTCTTTTTCTCTCTTTCTATCTTTCAATCACTTTCGATAATATAAAATAATAATTATTATATATGTAATTCAAAAATAAAACAATTATGTTTTATTAATTCTAATAGAAAAAACTGTTCACATTGTACTTTTAAAATGATGACTTTAAATTATGTATTTCAATAATAAAACAGGATATAATACCTAAAAACCTTTTAACAAATGTATATACGATTAAAAAAAATACTTATTTTAAATATTTCAACCATGTTACCAATCTTATACTTGGGGAAACTCGTTGTACTTACACATTCTCCAACGTTTTATTTGTTCTATTTATCCATATCGATCACTTTTCCTTTTTCATATATATCTCTTTCCCTTCTCTCTCTATTTCTCTTTTTCAGTCATTTTCAATAATTGATAATAATTATTATGATATAAACAATTCAAAAATAAAAACAAATATGTTTTTTTATTCTAACAGAAAAAAAACTATTAAGTGTTCCCATTGTATTTTAAAATGATGAATTTAAATTATGTATCATTCAATAATAAAACAACAAATGATGCGTCAAAAATATTTTAACAAAAGGATAAACGATTAAAAGAAAATATTTATTTTAAATATTTTAACCATGTTACAAATTTCATTCTTTGGGAAACTCATTTATTTAGTAAAAAGATGATAATAAAACCACTCTCCAAGTCGTTGGGCATAAAATTAAACTCCTGGATGTTGATCATCCATCATCATGTAGTTAGTAAAATTTATCGTATTTATTTTATTTTATTTTTTTTTGCAACAGCAGAGGTTATATCAAGCTCGGGGTGCCAAAAAAAAAAAAAAAACATTTGTAAGTATGTCGCGTTCGAATGCAGGGCCTACATTGCTTTTAATTTTTTTACAATCTCCCCCATTCTCCCTATTAATCCATTCATCACTTTCTCTTCATCTCATTCCATCACTCTCTCTCTCTCTCTGTCTCTCTGTCTCTCTCTCTCTCTCTCTCTCTCTCTCTCTCTCTCTCTCTCTCTCCCTATCTATCTATCTATCTATCTATCTATCTATCTATCTATCTATCTACTCTCCCTCTTTGTCTGTCTATCTATCTATGTATCTCTCTTTCTCTCTGTCTCTCTCTCACTCTCTCTCTCTCTCTCCCTCAATCTTTGTCTGTGTATCTATCTATCTATCTCTCTTTCTCTCTGTCTTTGTCTCTGTCTATCTGTCTATTTCTCTCTCACACACACACTCTCTCTCTCTCTCTTACTCTCTCTCTTTATCCCTCACTATCTATCTATCTATCTATATATCTATGTATCTATCTATCCAACTATCTAACTATCTATCTTTGTCTGTCTCTATCTCTCTCTTTGTTTTTTTCTATATTGTGCACTTATATTATTACTTATCTTCATACATCTATAATTAATATTAATAAATTTTCACGCAACAGAAAATGAAACTAATTATCCAAGCATTGCCGCGAGTCTTTAATTGTATAACGTTTTCAATTTATAAATATATCTACATTCGCTACTCGCTCGCGTGCCCGTCGCAACGACGCAGGGCTTTAATTGCCTTTTTAAAAAAGGATAGAACTGAACGACCACTTACAAAGTTTTTTCAGGACATCCAACTCGCGGCTATTTACAAAACAGTGATAATTATTGAAAATTAGCGTGGCCAGGCGGACAAGGGCGACAAGAACTTTTGGGCTACTAACCTTATTATAAAAACGCTAATGTGAATTGTTGTAAATAATTAATTTTTATATTCAATCATCAATGAATAATAATAATTTAATATCTCGTAAGGAAGCACGCAAACCATTAAGTCATAAATTGAATAAAAATTCACGCCATGGACTATGGAATAGTTGTAAATAAATATTGATTAAAAATTAAAGGCTATATCAAAACATAGCAACTAATGGTGTAATGTACTGAGAGTCCATTTTAGATGGCCCGGCTGAGTTTCTCTTGAATCAATGACGCTATCAAAAAATATATGCTTAATATTTTTGATCCTGACATACCATTTTTACGGATTTTATCCCATGAAAACAATGTTGCAATCAGATTTTAAATTGGTCAAAAAACGACGAAGTTATAGCAAAACGAAACCGGCAGATCTGAATATTTTACTATAGATCCACGAAAATCTATATGTTGATGATCTATATGTTATATACGAAAATGTTGAGGGTTTTAGGTTTTTCAACAAATAATATGAAAGTTGTACTCCGGACTTACCATTTTAAGCCGTTTCGGTCTCATATTGCCTAGGGACTTCGGGACTCTGATTAACCTAGGCGTCTAACTTTCCTCGCACAAATGGTATATTTTCGCGAATATACAGTAAAATATTCAGCTGGTTGTTGAAATTACGCTGCCGGTTTTTTGGTGATGGAACAGCAACTGATCCTTATCTCCTTATATTGCGAGCAACACGAATAAATATATTGTGGTTTACTCTGGACGATCAGGAAATTTCTGAGAGTACAACTCTAAATTTTAAAACACTTTCAAAAAAATTATTCTTGTGCTATATTTTATAATTTAATTTTTTCAAGAGGATATAAATAATATGAATCTTTCTTTGGATAAATCTTATTATATACTTATAGGAAGGGGTTTCACATATACTGTACCATGGAGTCCCAAATATCCTGGAAAACAACATTTCTGACGCCATAGTTTTTGTTTCTTCATTGAAAATCAATGTGTATAAAAAAACAATGTGCATTTGCTACGAACGAAAATAAAAATGTTATATTTTTGTGCTTTGAAAAATTCTAAGATAATTTAAACTAACGGATTGGGAAACAGTCTTGAAATTTCAATACATATTGTGTGAGTTAGTATTTCTCATTCAGTAAAGACAGGTGTAAGTTTAATTGCTTATATTATTCTTCATTTTTTGTACTTACGATCTGCCAATCCAATCCAGCACCAGCCTAGACGGACGATACCGCAATATTATGTACGTTCCCGAGTACGATACTATCCACCACCAATATATAAAAACAGCAGGAGCTCATCGAAGCATGCTGTTAGAATTTTCTCCAACATCAAGGAATTACCGACATCAACATAAGTGAAAGGGCTATGCCAAGACAAAAGGTCCTAAGAAGACTGCTTGGTCCGAAATCAGCCATGACTCTTACAAACCAACTAACCTTCAACTATTTAGTAATAATTCTTCTTATTTGGACATAGCAGAACTGTGAAGAACCATGAAACCCTTGAAATGCAACCCATTCAACCATGTCAATAAAAAGTCCTCAGAAGAATTATCCTAGGTCTTTAGTACGTCTGAAACCTCACCATCTACAATGACATCAACATTCCTTCATTGTAAACTTACCGATTACAGAAGTTCCATTCTATTTTTTCTTCTGTCCCTAACCAATTTGTTTAAGCCGTATTTCTTACCCCCAGAATCATGCCAGTCGCTTTAAAAGAAGTTTACCCAGAGATCTAATCGCGCCCTCAGCAGTGAACTGCCACCCTAGGCTGGTTTCTGACGTCAGGTGTCCTCCAGGACTGTTTGTGCTGTTTGTAGTGCCAGTAAGCGATCGCGTAAAAACCAGAAAAACCACGCTTGAATCAATGCACCGAGAAAAAATATAAAAATTAAAGCTAATTATTCTTGGTATTTTAGTCAAACTTATAAGTTCATATGGTAATCAGATTCCCACGCACGATTATGTGAATC